CTGGGAACACACTTATCACATGATTAACACAAAAATGCAAACACGTCCATGTATAAACAATACCATAGAACACTTGTATATGAAATCAAATATTACATCTATCCTTCATCCATCTCTAATTGTCTGTCTGTCTGTCTATCATCTGTGTAGCTCACTAGAAAGTCATTTGATCCTTATGATCTACAGGAGACACTTCATGTCTTCAAAGTTTTCAGATTAAACAGTACTAAAACTATAAAGGCATGGAATGTGGTCTTTTTTGAAATAAGCATATTTTGTAACCTCATCAGGCCAGAGGGGGGGTGGGGGGTGTCAGTGATACTCAACTGAAGGTCAAAGTGCCATTAACATCATCATGCAGAGAGACAGAGGCAGGGAGGAAGGGAGGAAGGGAAGCAGGCAGAGAGGCAGGGAGGGATGCAGGCAGGAAGGGAGGAAGGCAGGCAGAGTAGGAGGAAGGGAGGCAGACAAGCAGAGAGGGAGGAAGGGAGGCAGACAAGCAGAGAGGGAGGGAGGAAGGCAGGCAGAGAGGGAGGCAGACAGGAAGGGAGGAAGGCAGGCAGAGTAGGAGGAAGGTAGGCAAGAAGGAAGGAAGGCAGACAAGCAGAGAGGGAGGAAGGGAGGCAGGGAGGGAGGCAGACAGGAAGGGAGGAAGGTAGGCAAGAAGGAAGGAAGGCAGACAAGCAGAGAGGGAGGAAGGGAGGGAGGGAGGAAGGGAAGCAGGCAGAGAGGGAGGAAGGGAGGCAGAGAGGAAGGCAGACAGAGAGGCAGGCAGGAAGGGAGGAAGGTAGGCAAGAAGGAAGGAAGGCAGACAAGCAGGGAGGGAGGGAGGCAGACAGGGAGGGAGGGAGGAAGGCAGACAAAGAGGCAGGGAGGGAGGAAGGCAGGCAGAGTAGGAGGAAGGTAGACAAGAAGGAAGGAAGGCAGACAAGCAGAGAGGGAGGGAGTAAAATTGGACATTGGTAGGCCTGGGAGGGGAGGCATATTGGGTCTGTTATGTCTTAGGTATGTTTAATACTCATACTAGCATGTGTTCAGGACCTATAGGAGTTCCTTTAAATTAATAGTTTTTTTTATTTACAGGACCACATAGAAGCCTTTGACAAAAAATTAAATATATTTTTGGAAGATCTGTTTGGGAAAAGAGGTGAGTGTTGTACAAATAATGTATATTTTTCCCAATGTGCACTAATAGCTTTTTTGACATATATTTTAATATCTGAGATGATTTTGGAAGTTTGTTATGTAACCCTAACCCAATTTAATTACATTGAGGTGACTCAGTAATATCTAGGCCAGCATATCTAATCTAGTATCAGTAATATATAATTTTGCAGAACAACCTGAGGTTTCACAGGATGTTTTGAGGAGACACCACATAAACAGCTCAGTAACTGTATCCTCTGTGTGGAAGTTCTGTTTATATAGGAGTATGAAGGAAACATCCATGTTTTTCTTGAATATCAGGACGTACACACCATATATACTATACACTATTCCTTCTGTCACATTTAGCAGAAGGGAAATCAAACTCAATGACAAATTTCTGCTCAAATACAGACATACAAATATATGTCTGTTAGTCAAGACTAACTTATCTTCACTGTAATTAACTCACTTTGAGCAAAATTTGGGTGATACTTGAAAGTATCAGTAGTATAATCAGACACTGAATGGTCACTGCATTGAGCCTCAATCACAGTTTAAATGCTTCTTACTAAGAGATGTCTTCTGAGATCTTCAGAATCTTTAGTCTGATGAATGTAGAGATTGATGAGCTGCTTCTTATCTCTCAGACTCCAGGGTAAGAGGATGGCTCCTGTTGGATTCCTGCCTTCCCACTCTGTCCTTCACTGCCCTATACCTCCTCTTAATTTACTTCGGACAAATATATATGAAGAACAGGACAGCATACTCCCTGAAAAAAGTCTTACTGGTGTATAACTTTGTGGTGACCATGCTGTCCTTCTACATGCTCATTGAGGTAAGACAAGCCCTTTCATAGATTTTCCTGTTAGAAGCTGTTAACTCGTCATCAGAAGAAGCCGTTCACCTTGCCGTGTTTCAAAAAGCCCCCAACTTGTTAACCAGAAAAGCTTAACTGTCATTTTAAAAGCTGACTTCGCCTGTGGCCTGTACTACGAAGCAGGGTTACTGGCTTATCCGGGTAACTTGTCGGATTTAAGGTACCACAGTTTAAATGGACTTCATATTCGTTCACTTACATTTTGCCCAGACTACCTTAAATCCGACAAGTTACCCCGATAAGCCAGTAACCCTGTTTCATAGTACAGGCCACTGGTCTTTGAATTGACTCTGAAACGAGCGATGCCTCAGTGATAGGACTCACTAACTTGATGAAATGGTCCCATTTCAGCTGATCTTGTCCACTTGGACAGCAGGTTACCGGCTGCAATGTCAGAACCTGAACAGCGCTGGAGATGGGGATATCAGGGTAAGCCAATAGCAGTGCCCCTTTTCCTCGCTGTCTCACCTTTTAAGGAGATGCTCAGTGAGCCCTGGATAATGAACGTGGTGAAATATAACACAGATGCTATTCCAGAGCGTGCATGTCTTTGTCAAACTCTTCCAATTTAAATGAAATTGGTTGTGAAAGCCATAGCGCTCTGAGCTGTGTGTAGCGTGAAGCGGGTAAACGAAGAACGCTTCCTGTTCCAGAACTGGGAAGCGAGCTGGAGCTCCAGCTTTTACTGGAAGCGATAGGTACGTGTGCACAGCCAGCACCATGCAGCACCATGTGCCTGAGCTGCTTGTGAAGCACCAGTGAGGCTGTTCTTAAAGCTCAGCCACCAGCACAGCATGGAACATCTCTCAGCTGCTCATCTTCTCATTGTTGCACTTTGAGCTTCACCTGAATGCTGCCACCAGCTAAAGCTATTAGACTTAGATTGAGACAGCCCCAGTACTGTCATGATGTTTACTGGTCCTGTGTCTTTCTGAGGATTTTGTATCCATACTAAACAGGTCGCTAAAGTACTGTGGTGGTACTACTTCTCCAAACTCATTGAGTTCCTGGACACAGTGTTCTTTGTTCTGAGGAAGAAGAACAACCAGATCACATTCCTGCATGTATATCATCATGCTTCCATGTTCAACATCTGGTGGTGTGTTCTCAATTGGATACCTTGTGGCCAAAGTAAGTGTAATCCTATGCTTAGAGATCCGTTGGGTTTACTCAACTAGGTGTTTGAAATCAATTTTTAATTTGAAAATACAGCAACTATGACCACAATACCCTCCAGACTTCACTTTGGTGTTCCTATGTGCCCTTATTTAAAAGGCTTCTTTGGACCACTGCTGAACAGCTTCATTCATGTACTGATGTACTCCTACTATGGGTTGTCCACCATTCCATCCATGCACAAATACCTGTGGTGGAAGAAGTACCTGACCCAGGCTCAGCTGGTAGGTCTGATCATGGATTTCCTGAAAGGGCAGGAAGCCTCAGTCAGGACACACCCATGATCTTGCTTTCGTCCCCCAGCTTCAGTTCCTGATGACCATCACCCACACGCTCAGCGCTGCCGTCTATCCCTGCGGATTCCCCCTCGGCTGCCTCCTGTTCCAGTCGTCTTATATGATGACTCTGGTCATCCTTTTTGTGAATTTTTATATTCAGGTATGTACAGTAGTGGAGTAGATCCCTGATATGAAGAAATGTGTTATAACACACGGTTATTCATCCTGCCATCCTGCAAACTCCAGAGAGAGGTAGGAATCAGACTCGCAGCCATAGAGGCTTTAGGTCGCAGCATCAGCCTTTGGACCTAAATTGTTGGGTTTCTTGCACAATTAAGATTTTAGAAATGTATACGCTCTCACTTCCGTCTGAGGAAGTCTGAACTCTGATATTGTGCAGGCCTAGCACTTAACTGGCCAGCTGATGTTCTGGTTAAACAAGGCATTGATTGAAATGTATAAATTGAAATTCCCAGTACACATATTAAAGAACAAATACGTATGTTTAAAGAACTTGTTTGTAGGTTTATTGTATTTGGGTATACGCCCCTAAGCGTCACATGACCGAAGGGGCTCACTTTGTCCAGAACACCCTGACTGTTCCCTCAACTGCGTTTTCCTGTGATTTCAGACGTACAGAAAACGACGACCAACAATGGACGGGAAGGATCAGAGAGACGTCCAGAACAATTATGCAAATGGATATTCTGCCATCAATGGGGCAAGTTCTAAGCAGAAGAGGCAGTAGTTGGATAGGTCAGGATGGGGGAGGGGAATTAAGGTAACACAATCCAAGGCCTGACTAAGACATTTCAGTAAAGCAGTGGTACAATCTCTGTACTGAGGTTTATATAGAATTCTTAGTACTTCCTTTTATATGTAGTGCTATTCTTTGTTTTTTTAAAACTCATATGTGATGCTGTATGCATCACAGTGTGGTTTCTGTCCTGTCATGCAGCATCTTAAACCATTGCTCTGTATGAGTTTACATTTAGGTGGAACATGCACAGGCAAAATGCTTGAAGGAACATTTTTATTACGCAGCAAGTCTTTCTTCGAATACCACCTTTTAAAGCTGCTGTCTATGAACAAGACAAGCAATAGCAGGTGTGTGTACACAGCAGAAGGCAAACTATGCCGACAGTCATTCAAATCAAAATGCCTTAAATCACAGCCCCTTCCTGATGGATTACACTTCCATTCTGTTGTCTTAGTTTACTGGTACAGACCACTTGAAGGTAAATTCATTTAACTAAATTATTTTAGAAAACTAAAATTTAAAAATGTTTGTGTCTTACACTGACTTTAATTGAATTTGTATATGGGCAGTTTAGGAAAGAATCATGGATACTGGTGGCTGTAAAACAGTACAGGAGGAAATAAAACAGAAGATACATGGAAGATTTGCGCAATTCACCATGATCACTTCAGTTAGCGGCTGATTTCTAATTTCAGCAGAAATATTTCAGATGTGGCTTGGTGCTCCTTTCAAATGCTCTTGGGTGACAGTCTATCCGTGTGACTGACTGCTGACACACACACACACACACACACACACACACACACAAACAAACCAACAGTGCTATTTACGAAGGTCTAAGTAACTAAGTTGGTGGCTTCAGTGGAATAACTGGTTGTCTTGTCTTCTGTTGAGATTCCCTGTAAGAGGAAAAACAAGTTACGTCTGCAAATTCTGGGTGGCAGCCATCTTGCTGTGAGCGTACAGTGGTCACAGCTTCCTTTTAATGTTCACAGTTACACGTTGTTGACGAGTTCAGCCAACTAAAACCTGCCTTGTGAGCAGGTTTGGGTCACTAACTGCTGATATTGTCCTCCATTGGATTTAAAGCTTTGTATGAATTTATAGGCCAACATGGGAGCAGCTGCCTGAACTGCAGAAGTGCCAACACAGAAATAGATTTTATACCCAATCCAAAAACCCGGGTAATTGGAGAGAGTTCTTGCTGCTATTTAAGTAAGGAAATGAGGCTGCTGGTAGTAAACAATACGAGTAACAATTTAATCACACTGCAGCGTATAAGCAATATGCACCTGACCTGAGAAGCCACATCCTCCGTGGCTGGACTGTGGACCGCTTCTTTAAGCAGCTCCAGCGACCGCAACCTGCAAAACAGCAAAATAGAGAGACACACACAAAAAAGCTCCGTCATAAGTACCATTTACAGCCTACAGACCAGCATTACTTTAAGGCAGTTCCTGCAATATTGACTCGCTGCTGATATTTGAATATATTGGCTTGACCATGTGGATATGATGAACTCCTCTTCACCTGTGCTGCTGCTTCTCGCAGAACATTGTCACCACTTTGGATTCCGCCTTCCAGAAGTTCTGCGAACAGGCAAACTTACTGCTGATAACCTTGCATGATGTCATGACTGCAAGTTTCACTGTTGACTGTTTTCCATAATCAGCAGTATTGATGCTTGATATACTATTTGGAGAATGCCAAACCCAGACGGACACAGTGCTTATAACAGCATTACACTGCAGTTTTACAAAGCAGAGCACTGGAAACTCAAGAATACAGACCATGACTTCCCTCTCGATCTTCTTCAGGGAATGACAGTCTTGCTCTAGGTGAGCCAGCTCATTGATGACAGTGGTTTGAAAGGTATCCAGGTGCTTGAGCCTGTGGACAGGCAGAGATGCTTAGAAAACACAAGTCATGTTATGATCAATTAGATTACTGATAGGCTGGCCCTGCATGTCTCTCAAACAAAAATATGACTCTGCACAGACTAGGCCGATAGTATTTTTCCATAATTCAAACATCCATTAATCTCATTTGCTCTAATCCACTGATATCTTAGCAGTAGTTGCTCTTCTCCAGAATGGTGCCCTTTACCTGTACCCATGTACGGAGCTCAGCAGTGTCCTCACACTCTCCTGACAGTCGAGGAGAGACTCCATAGACTGGGTTTCTATTTTCCGATACCTGGACTGACAAATTCACAGAAGTCACCCGACACACATTTTAATACTGTGTGGTTTTGGTTAGAGTACAAAAATGCTTGTGTGAATTGGAAGTCAAACTGGAAACCAGACCAACATGGTTCATCGTTTCAATGTTTGACCCGAACCACAAAGCTGGGGTGTAAAAATCGTCTTGCAAACTGCTCAAATGTCTTGTACATAAGTCATTTTATATTTCATTCCCAGAGAAACAAATCTGTTACAATTTTAAACTTTAGTATGGATTCTGAGTTCCTGTCACATGACTGCAAGTAGAGTTTGAATAGATGTTAGCATGGTCATGGTCTTTACCGAGAAGTGGTCCTTCAGCTGCTTTTTGAACGACTGAAAGGCAGCAGTTACCCCAGAAGCCATCTCAGTGTCAGACTCCGAGGCTTCTACAAAGAGTTTAGTGATCCTCTCTAGGGTGGAAAAAATGTATTAACACACAAAGGTAATACACCGTACAGGTAGAGCAGGACGATACCCATTTTCTGTCGTATCTCCAAGTTTTTAGTGCTTTTGTGCGTCTTCCGCTTAAAAGTAACCCTAACCCGGAGTAAGGGCACTGTGGTTAGAATACGTAAATGACCGTAGCAGAATGGATCAGATTAACGTTGAGCCTGTGAGGCAGGGTGACAGGCCCATGAGCCAGCATGGTCTTTCCCAAAGGCATGAAAGAGGCACAAACATGGGCTCAGCCTCAAAAGGGAAAATGGTGAAGCGAGGGCAGGACTTGGCAGAGCAAGAATGCCAGCCTGGCTGTTAGCCACAGTCCCATTGTGTGGAATTAAGGAGAAGGAAAGAAAAGCTGCACCCAGACCCAGCAGGGAGGCTGAAGGGAAATGAGAGAAACTAAAGGGGAACGGCGTATCCATAACTGCGAGCATATGCCGCATTACATAGGGGAACGTATCCATAACTGCAAGCATATGCTGCATTACATAGGGGAACGGCATGTCCACAACTGCGAGCATACGCCGCATTACACAGGGGAACAGTCACATTGCAAAGAGGAACAGTGTCCCATAACTGCGATGATTCGCCACATTACACAGGGGAATGCAATTGCAAGCATATGCCGCATTACACAGGGGAACAGTCGCATTACACTGGGGAA